TATTGAGTAGTAAGGAAATTATACTGAAATCAAATGCAAGATTTAAACAATAAATAAAATGAAAATACAAAAACTGAGAAAAATCTAGCTTTGAACGAAAAACCCTTTCCTTCTTTCACTCCACTCCCGTGAATTCCAGCTGATGAGACTAATTACCTGTGCACATGGCAGCATCAGTTAAAACAAACGTTCAACCAGTATTCAACACATATCTGTATCACAACAGTCATTCTGTCTTTCACAGGAGAAGCTATGGTCATTTTAAATAGAGCATTTTTTGTACTGTAACTTTTTTGGCTGTCGTTTTGTTTATTACATCGTTTCAGAAAGAGGTGCAGTGACCTTGGGAAGTCCTGTACCTTTATATAGGCAATTTTTTCCTCCACTTCCCCTGGGCTGATAGAAGCAGAGACTTTGTTTGCTGTGCACAATTACACATATCACTTCCACTGAGGGAAGGAAGAAAAAAGTCTACTTGCAACGAAAGGGGGACGTAAAAGCCAGGAAAATCTTCAAGTGGAAGTTGCTGAGTAACTGCATGATCGTTCTTAATCATCAAGGCCGACAATTAAACATTTAGGAACTACCGCATTAAGGAACTTGGCTGGCTCAGATGCCTGTTCAGCTCCATAGTACAGGCATCTAGGAATGTCTTTAGGGCAATGGTCACAGTACGCGTCAGAAATCCTGAACAGAGTAGTGTACCCATGCTCACTCTGTTTTCTTGTTTTAAGTGCTTGCTTACAAATGCCAGTGACAGTTCTGTTCTGCTGAAGTTCTTACACCGTACTCAGCACTGCAGAAACTGAGCGTCTTGCAGCACCGCGGGCATCGGTCAGGTCGTTTGTTCCCTCGGGCAGGGAAGCAGCTATGTACCGACCCATGTTTTAATGCCGGCTTGCTATTCGTACAAATCTCGGTTTTAATGTTAAGACATTTCATTGACACTTTCATTGACACAGTGTATACCCTCTGCAAATTTATTACATTTCTGGTCAGAAAGCCCAGTGCAAATTCTAAAGGCCTATAAACATATTTGGTTATAGCTATATGAAATCATTACAGATGAGCTACATCCCAGCTCGTCCCTCGCCTCCAAAATCCTAATAGCTGCGAACAAAGTCCACAATACTGCGTACCGAAAAAGAGCTTTTAATGTGAATGTGACATGCAAATATTAAGACAGGACACCAGACTTCTTTTCTTTCCCCTTCCCACTGGGTGTTTTATTTTATAGCATTTGCATTAGGTAATCAACTGAAACACTTCAGCAACAGAAAGCTGGCAGCATAGTAAGGAAAAATGGAGATTATTTCTCAAACAGCTGTGACAAAATGGTTTCAAGTTGGAATAGTATTGCACAAACGAATCAATTTACAGAGGGTGAGTAGGAGCGAGCATCTTCAACATGGATTGTGAGGAAAAAAGGCACTATTCAGCTGTGTGTGTTTAAAAAGAAAAAAAGTCATGAAGCACAATCCATGTTTTTCAAAATTACATTCAGTACTGCTTTAGAAATGCTCACAAACTTGCCTCTTTTTACAGAAGCTACAGAAAGCTGCTGATGTAAACATCAGACAGTACAAGTGTACGAACGCTTATTATTATGCTCCAGAAAAGTCTCAGAAAGAGGGATCTTTCTATAAATACTGCTGCAAAGGTTACATAGTTGCCTAGGCTTACAGTAAAGGAAGCATCCACACAACTAGGCAGCTTTACAGTTTCCTTAAGTTTAATCTCTAGTAGTCATAAAATACGCTCTAATTTCGAAGAGCTGAATTGGCAGTGCACTTGAATCGGGCTTTTCCACGGACTGCTTAAGCAGCACAGTTCAGACAGCGTCATCCATATACCTTTGTCATATACACGTTAAGCAACACCAGGTACGCTTAATGGAAAATGTTAAGATTTATAACAGAAATTAACTGCGTTTTCCCTGATATAGAATAGAACTGCTCTGAGACCATAAAAAAGCAAATGTTTATTCCTGGAAATTAAAAATAGCCAAGTAACTTCAGAAAAACTAAGTACCCCGAAAAGGCATTTCAAATGACCAGGACGGCCTGCTTCTTCCTCTCCCGTATTGTACAGCTATAAATTTTCATGCCTGTTTGAAAATGAAGCCGTGATCATTAATAGAGAGGCTGCTTGAAAATCAACTCAGAGCAAGCAGGAATATGCACGTGGGACATTCTGCACCCTAGCCTTGTGTCTGCTTATAGATGCACTAACAAAATAAGAGTAAAATTCTTGTTGTATGGCTGCAGAATTGTTCTGGGAAGGAGCTAAAAACACTTGCTCTGTCAACACTGCCCAGTGTATCCCAAGTGTTCCAGGCATGCTGTGGTTATGGCTGCGTAGTTACCAGCGCAGCTGGACCTACTGCCATTATACTGACATCAAGAGTTTCAACAGGGCTACAGTTTTGTACAAAATCTGGTCATTAATTTTGTACAAAATGTGCAGAACAGTGTAACAAAACCTACTTTCAATTATACATATATATATGAGCATTTCAGCACCTTTCAAACAAACTTAGCCCTGCAAAAAGCCAGTCTCACTCCTGTGCTTAGACTACCGCGACTTCAGTTAAAAGATCCATGTTCAGGAGGGTGCATAGTAAGTTTACTGATCAGACAACCTGCAACAACAAAAATTCATGTATTGCTACTTTTCATGTAAGTCATTTAGGGAAATCACACAAGATACGTTCTATTTATATACTGTAAAATATTTTTAATACCAACAATTTGGATTGTTTCCATTTCTGAATAGAAGATGAAAAGAGCAGGTTATTAAAAATCTGTAAAGCTCCTTTTCCTAAACTGTCTTTTAGGAAATCCAAGTTTGATAGTTTTGAATTCAAAGGATTCTAAAAAGTTCACAGTTGACTTAATGGCTGCACTAGATATAAAAGTAGACAGTCTTGATTCCTTCTGTGTTCCACAGACAATAACATTTTCAGAGTACGTCTGGAATTAATACCTCTCCAATTGTAGCTAGCATTTTTAAAAAATATTCCTAAAATTCTTTTTTGTCTCAACCCCGTCAGTTCAAGCAAAGAACAGGAAGTGATATCTGATTAAACAGAATGTGTTTTCTTATATGAACTATGAAAAATATATTGCTCTTAAAAGTAAAAAAAATTGTGGTGTTCTATTATTTTTGTTACTGAAGACTCATAATTAAAAAATTCTAAATCCTGGAAGAACAAAAAAAAAGAAACATAACTTGTAAAATTGCTTACAGAATAGAAGATGTTTCTGTAGACACTACTGAAATCGGTAGAAGTTTTGCCTATTATTTTTTCTTGTCAACACAGAGACATTTGTCTACATACCTATTTCATTACCTAGATGAGTATTTTATGTTTTCACTTAGTAAACTCTTCTGCTCTCTTAGGGGTGCTCTTGTGAAAATTCTGACGGAGACTCAAGAAGGTAATCTGATCTGAATTATTCTGAAGGAAAACAACATCTGAAATAACATCTAACATAAAACTATCACTGAGTGGATAATCTTTCCTGGGATTATAAATACTAATTTTATCTCAAAAGAGTTACTGCTTTGCTATGGAAATTTTTAGATCTTCATTAGCTACTTCTTGTGTATGAGTCCTCAGTTCATTTCTTTAGGTAGGAAACACGTCTTGTGTGAACTAACACATCCTATTCTCAAACATGTTGGCATTATTAATGAAGTCAATAGACAAGAACTAGAACAGGAAATCTTATGCATGGTTCATGCTATATAAATGGTAAGCTATCAGGAGGAACTTCCCTGATTATTTGGGAAGAACAAAGAGAGATCTATTTTTAAAATTCAAAGGGAAAAATCCAAGAAAACAAAGAAAATGCAAGATGTACTTGATAGTCTCTCATTATCCTCTCTGTAATTGGGCTGTTGCTTTTGGCTGCAGACATCCAGTTCACAGACCAGAAATTTTCCATTTCCTTTGTTTTCATTACAAGAACAAGCTGGTTAAAGAAACTCCACTTAGTAATTTTAAACTAAGCCTTCAGCATCATCTCTTAGGAATTTAAACCTTTACCGCCATTCCTTACTTTGTCTCCTCAGTGCCTTCCCCCACCAAACCCTGTGAAAAGCACTTTAAGAAAAGGCAGGTGTAAAATGTGTAAATACTCAGATCTTTAAGAAAATTCGATAGGAAACAAATTCTTGTAGTTCTCCATTGCCATTTGCTATAATGCTGTGGCCCCAAACATCTGTTCTCAAATTTCAATTTACTACATCTACCAGGTGTTTCACATTGTTAATAATGGCAACTCACAAATTTACAATAGTCACATAAGGCAGTTACATAAATACAGTTATGTCAGTCAAGTTCACTGCATCTTTCGCAACCAGACCACACCTGACATTTTTCTTCTCGTCCTCTTGTCATAATAAAAGGATGAAGACTACATTTCTGCAAAGAGAATCCCTCGACAACATTCTGGTACTGAAGTCGGAGAGGTTGCTGAAGTGCATTTCAGCGATGTCCAACAGTTAACCAGGAAGTAGATGTGATGTTTTTCACTTCACACGTAACAGAACTGGTGCAAAACCCCCACTAGTTTAAACCTTTTGGTCCAAATACATAAAATAAGCAGTATTTACAGCATTTTACTCCTTTTGTAAATGCAATGCTTTAAAACACGTTATAAAGCACCTTAGTAAAAATATTCTACAGGTAAAAGTATCGAAGTAGTAGGAAAACCCTAACCATACCACAGCTCACTAATGGAGTCATAATATGGATTCACCAATACCTCAGTTTACAATTATTACAAAGAATCCATGGAGAAACTTAATACTGAATTTACGATTTTCATACCACTGTGTAAGGATCAACTAGAACTGCAGACAATATCAACTTTCTTCATAGTTTTCCCAACCTCAGTCAGTGGTGGTGGGGACAAAAAACAAAACAAAACCCCCACTGCTCCGATTCTTTAACTTTTTACAATATTAAAGTGGAAATGATGTCTTAACACTAATGATTAGTTGTAATTTTTTAATAAAACCACATATATAAATATGGGCAATTTCAGCAGCAGCAGCATTTCTCAGCGGAACATGATTAACCACCCCAATTAATATCATGTGACATGATTCACGAAAACAAAGCACAGATGTCAACCAGTTATTGACACTACTCATATTGTATACAACCAAAATTTCCATGTTGAAAGCTGGGAAAAATTATTTCCTCTTCTCAGAAGTATAAGTGAAAATAAATTGCTCTGAAAATGAAAAAGAGCATCAACAGAAGCATTTTTTGTTTGTTTATATTTTTGACTAGAACTGCTGTGTATTAATTGCTCCGAATTAAGGTGTAGATTTCTTCAGGTAAAGGATATTAACTCCCACTGAAGGTATTAGTTAGATAAAAGAAATTAAGCCTTTGCTTCTGGATTACCAACTTAGTTAGCCAGTATCCAATGCCCTGGAGGTGATCCACAGCTCACTTTTCTCAGATCTATAAAGAAACATCTTGGAGGTCTACAAGCAATCTAGTTTCCATGGCTGAGGACTAAGATGATGATGTGACCAAAGATTTAGGTCCATAAATCTAACAGTATAGTGTTCTTAGTTTGATTTAGGGTAAATCTTTTCATAGAAAAAGTTTTGAGCCAGAATATACAATTCTCCATCTTTTTCCCGAACTGCATGTGCTCTGACAAACTGAAATTGCTCCAGTGCAAATTCATAGAACTCATTCTCCATTTTCCAGATTTCAGACTGTTGTAGCTTGGCAATAGTTTCTTTTGTGGGAAGTTTTTTCTCAGTTGTTTTCCTAAGATGAGACTTCTTTCCTAAATGCAAAATGAAAGCAATAACTTCACTTTAAAGTTCACGTGATTAAAAATGTTTACAGTCCTTTTATTTGCAGAGTTTTATACTCTCAGCATGTTGATAAACTGCATTAGAAGTCACAGAATTTAATTCAGAACTTATTAACATAACATGCAGGGTTGGAAAATTGCAGTCTCTCTCACTAAATGTTAATGAATTTTGCATCAGTTCTTTCAATTCTTTCTCCTTACTCTCATAAACCCAGAGAATGAACATTTCACTTCAGGAACAAGATTACTCCACATAATGTACTTGGAGCAAGATTGGTCTTTCAGAATTAATTATTTAGATTGTAATCTGGTATCAAATGTTAAGGATTTTACAAACTGCACAGCAATAGGCTTCCTTCATGAGACAAAGATGACCAAAACGATGACAGCATTTTCCCTCAGAGTGCTAGCTGTTCCTTTATAATAAACTTGTTAATACTACACATTAGGCTCTATACATCAGATCTTTTTCTCCCTCTATTTGCAGACAGAAGCCCTACTAAGATGGACCTCTTCTTTATCGTAAGTTGCATGGCCAGCTCCTAGAAACTGAGCTACTAGCTATATAACAAATGTCGTATTATAAGGCCAGGAAGATAAGTATGTACTTTTTTGTATCCCTTCGGCCTTTTTGCACAGCTAACCAGGCTGCATCAAGCACAGTTATTTTCATCAGCAGGGCTTCTCAGGAAATGGAAATCTGCCCCTGCAAGACCTTTCAAAAATGTTGTGATAAACACCTGTCACAATTTTTTTAAGTGTGGTATACCTACACAACTGCCTTTACCCCAACCTTAAATATGTGCATTTGTGTAAGGCAGGAAGATATTTGGGCTGCCCTCAAAAATTTGTACTGAGAGTCTTTTAAAGAGTTTGTCTCTTCTGTAGGAACATCAGCCGACTGAGAGGCAAACCTGGCAGACACTCAAAACTAATCATCTAGGTCTAAAGAATTCACATGAAAAACAGTGACAAGAGGATGAAAAACCAATGGAAGCCGTGGAAATCAACATTAAATACCTGTACGGTACAGTTCTGTGGCACCCCTGAAGAACCGGGGCAAAGCTGCCTCCAATAACATGATAAAGTCTTCAAGCTCTTCAGTAACTCCCACTAGGAAGTATTCATTAATCAGATTGTATTTGGCTTGTTCCAAAGCCCATCTGCTTCCCACATTCCTAAAACGACAGAGAACAATTACAGCAAATTCTGATGTCAGCCAACAATCCTGGGTCCCTAGATGGAGTTTACTTCATAACAGGACATTTGTATAGGAAAGGCAAGACTCATTTCAAGTTATAAACGTTCCAAACTTCATTTCCCTTTCCAGTTTCTCTCATCTGTGTTCTTATCTAAAAACTCGACTCCTCTAGTTTTTTTGACTAATAACTCATCCATAAAAAAAAAGGGTGTGTATATGGTTACTGTCTCTATTAATGCAATTTTTGGAGTATTTACCTTTTCTCAATGTCAATACTCAGTCTCCACTTTCACATTAGATATCAGAAATGGTTCTGGTAAGAACACATCTTCCCTATTGCATCCTACAAGCATAATTCTGAACTAGAAATACATTGCGCTTAATGGGAGGACTTTCCTACTGCACGACAGACAGAAATTAAACTGACATTTTTTCCTCCTTTTTATAGCTTTACACAGAGTGAAAAGATAGGTTCAGAGTTCATTCTTTCTCTGCTTCTCCAGCTGGCCCAGGTGTAGCTAGGTCTGACCAACAGCCACTGAAAGAGGAGCTCCCAAGTGGCCATTTACTTTGCTTATGTTTGGATGAACAGTACCTTTGAGAAATAAATGTCCTTGATCTCACTCAAAATCCTTCAAATCATCTATGTCTTTTTTTTTTTTGAGTTTGCTAAAGAGTTTTTTTAAGTCTGTACCATTGTTATAAAACATGCTGCGTTGACAGATGGACACTATTTACTTTTGTTTCAGTTTCTAAGTAGCATTGACTACTGGTGTCTGGTAAAAGTTTAAGAAGATAGATTTATCTTGATCTCAATTATTTTATTCTCCACAGAAACTCTAGGAGCTTGAACAAACGATCTCCATTCAGAAAGATGGATATTGTAGACTGACATAAGAGAAAAATGTCAAGACTCCAAATCTACAAAAATGATTTTTAAAATTGAAAACATCTGTTTTCCCTCATAGCACTGCTGATACAGTAGCCTAAAATACTGCATGTCTGAAGAACTACAAGACTGTTTCAGTAAAATGCATCTTCAAAAGAAAATACATTACTGAAGTACCTGCTGCTGCACTCTGTTCAGCTCCTCACACTTGCCTCAACTGTGCTACATATTCAAATTTGTTACATTTAGATTTCATTGTTGATATACTTGACTAATAACTTAAGCTACATTTATCTCCCTACCAGCATTCCGAGCTGTGGCCACAGAAGAATGGAATTTGAAGCCAAAGTTTCTCTGGAGCACAGTCTGAACCTCCAGCTGCCACACATTCATCAAAGGTCTGGAACAAAGATAAAATTGAGCTGAGCTTTCAAGTCTAATATGTAGTGGGGACAGAAAAACACAAGATATGATGTAAAAGAAAAAAAAAAAAGTAATTTTTTTTTCAAGGCTTGCTTTCACTGTGTTATTAAGAGGACCTATTTGTCTCAAAATAATTCTCGGACAATCTTTTATGATTAGAACTAATGAACAATTTGATCTTACCTTATACATTTGATATACCTTTGATAGAACTTTGACAAAGGCTGTAAGTCAAAACAAGTGAAAACAGTCAATAAGTGTTGGTATCATTGTTCTTTCCTTACAAAAGAAGTCACTAGAGATACAGCGTCAAATGCCGTCAGGGTTTGTGTGATACTGGAACAGCTGGATCTTTATATCACAGAACACTGTGCATTTTGTGTTTTAAATTAAACAATGTTCTATTACATTTTATATATTATGAGAAATACTGCCATTTCTGAGGCTAATTTGTATTTGGCAATCAGAAGTGAAAGCAAGTTGTTCACTGCATAACAGAATATTCTGTACAACATTGCTCTATGTGCATAGACAGCTGTAGCAACACAGAGTTTCAACTGCAGTAACGCTGTTACAGTAAGAACTCCATTAGCATTGTAAAGAATTTGTAAATATTTTACCCAGTCACCATAAAATAAGTATGATATTTCTAATCAAGATATAAGCCATGTATGTAGGATAGGTTTTAAAAAAATTATTTAGTAGCAAGTAAGTGATCCCACAACTTTTTAGACTGTTTCTTCTGTATAATTACAAGTTTCTATTCAAAACAACTATGTAAAAATACATGTGCTTAATTATTCGGTGTTAGAACAAGGACAACGTCCTTTGCTTCTATTTTGAGGTGAAGTTCCTGAGATAATCTGAAAAATTTACTGGTATCAGGCCAAAGCAGGGATTAACCTGTAGTGTCTTGGTCCACATTGCACTTCGAGTTTAGAATATCTCATACACGTCACATATTACAGATAAAAATGCAGCTTAACTAGGAAAACAAGATGCTGGTATGCTTTCTCTAGCATAGTTTTCTAGAGAAATTCTCCACTGATCTATCACGAGTACTTTACACCATCGACATTACCTAAGAACTAAATTGTTTAAATGCACCTCCTAACTTATGAATGTATATACTAAACATGAACTGGCATCTGTCAAAAGAGAGACTTCCTTGCTTATACCTGCAGGTTATTTTATAGTTCATACACAAAAGCAAGCAAGTAATTTTCTAAGATGAAATAGGACAGGCTTCCTTCCCCACTTCCTCTTACATATTTACCTTGACTACTCCATCCAGAGATTTTATTATAAGAAACACTTGTCTTTACAGACTCTGTTCTTGCAGCCAAGCTATCTATAACTTTGGAAGCACAGGGATATAGAAAGAAAATGAATGAACTCTTCCATAGAAATGCTGTGGTATGGACTGGGAGGGGGCACGGGTATGAAGTATGTTGAGACTCCTTTCCATTTAATAAAGGCACAATTGACTTCCATTAGAAAGATTGCATTTTTGACCTTCCTTGTTTTTCATTTTAAGACCTCTTAGTGAGCCTACTATTAACACAAATTAGAATAGATATCAATGTTATAGACACTGCGATTGGGTCAATCCATTGTTGAGCTTACTGAATTTTATATCGTATCAACTGTATGTAAAACTGACACTATCTACATATGTACCGTTTTCTTGGAAACACCGTGGAAAAATATTGTTACCTGATATAAATGAAAGAAACCCTAAACCTTGGCATATCAGATCATTTTCACTTCAAATGAACTAGCGACGCTTACAAGACAAATGAAATCTGTATGGCAACAACTAAGTCTCAGAGCTAAATAAAGTGGTATGTTAGTGACAAAATGAAAAAAAGTGTCATAAATAAAAACCCATAAAACTATTAATGCAACGCATTACAAATGTTATAAATAGGATTGCATTTTAGCTTCTTCCAACAAATCAGAACTTAAAGTGCAGTCTACCAGGCAGTAGCATTTGGGATTTTGGCTTAATGTTTCCCAGTGACTACTAATAAGTCTGTTTGGATTATAAATCAAAAATAAACCTCTACTTTTAAATATCATTCTTTTTAATATTAAGTCCTATAAACGTCTTGAACGACATAGCATGCTAGGCTTTCCACCTAATCCATCTCTACCAGGAAGGAATTTCACTCGCCAAATCAGCCTCCTCACGAAAAGGAATAGAGAAGGTTACAAAATATGAGATCCCGTCTCCCTTTTTAAAAATGCCTTTTTGAAACCCTAACACCATATCATCTCTGAAGCCAGTCTATGAAGATACTTTTTTTTCAGCATAACTTGAATTACTGTTCTGCTTGAAGCTTCCCTCTACCTATGCTGCAGGGTGCCTGGACGAAGTGGCATGCAGTAGCTGAAGATGGCGCCAGACCCTAAACAACAGAGGAGCAGTGAGTTACCAACGGAAAGGGAGAGGAATGGTTCTTCCCAATATTTAAAAACCACTATTTGGATGGGGTGACAGGGGGCAGGCAAAATGATTAGTCATGTTTATTAGTTGTTATGGTCTTATAGACTAAGCTGTATTCAGTGTGATTTTTGCTCAGTTATATTTCTCCATGTGTCTCAGTAGCACACTGCTGCACTAAATTGACAACATTACAGAAAAATTTCATGAGTTTAAGAAAATACTGCCACTGAAATTTTAAAGTGTTTGGCTCTGTGAAGTACAAAACCCCTTATGTTTTATAAAAGCTTCCACACTGCTCTAACTATAGATTTATGAACTATATTCACATGCTTAACATCCTCCTTTTCTTCCTGATTTAAGAAAAGTCCAAATCAACACCCTCCAACAACTGTCTTACCGCAAACCTTACTGCATCATAGTGGATGTATAAATTCTTTCTGGAATAAATATATTATGCAGTTTAAATGAGGTGGTTGTTCTGAAACTGTATTAGTAATCAAGGTTAGAGTACGCTAACCTGAACTACTCTATAGCCTCCTAAGACAGATGGAAGAAATACAGAAATGTGTGATTCATACTCTATAATTTTCAAGAAGACTCTTTATGCAATTCTATTGCAATATTTACATTTTTTATAAAAGAAAAATAAATTAGGTTGCTAATTATAAACAAAACAAATGTCAAAGCCAAAGCATCAGCAGTTCTACAGCTTTTGGTGAAAAATGTATCTATCTTAGTCCTCAACAAGAAAAGATGTAGATTTCTTACACAGAAGGATAAGCTTTCATACTTACAACTCTCGATACCTGAAAACATTATTTTATTTTTTTAACAAATTGCAACATAAAGCGAATTTATAAGGTTACACATAATGTTACACTCTGGTCCACTACAGACACCAATGGGAGAATATAACTTAGAAAGCCACTATCATCACCAAGGTTGATACAAGAACTATTCAGCTTTTATCAGGACATTTTTTCAAAATAGTTTCCACATTAGCTTTGGTAAGAACAACTTATATAATAAAGTGTACTTTACCTTTTTATCCCCCTGTTTTCGCCTCCGTAGCCCTGGTCTGTAATCATCTCCAAAGCGCAGAAAGTAATAATAAGAAACTAGTCGTTCTATAGGATCTCTTATGACATTTATGTAAATTGGTTTCTTTTTAACACCAAATCTAAAGTAGAAGAGGAAAAAATGTCTTTTAAAGGCCAAATCAAAGCTTCTCATTTAATACTTAAAAGTCTGTCTCTATTGATACAACTGAAATCTATATACAGAAAAGATGATGGTGAGAGGAAGCTTAATGATCACTTCCTCTCATCCTCATACTCAGTGTGTTATGTGGATGTAAAAGCCAGTTCAATTTCAGTTTTCCCTAGGATTGTGATTTTTAGTGTTGTGTTTTTTTTTTATTAGAGGAAAAAACAAAACTGAAATATTTTCACACAATTGATACTAAAAATGTTTATACAACTATCCTGACTCTAAAAATGCCTTAACTAGTCTAGCAGCCATGTATCTGTTTATAATAAGTACAAGGGAGTTTGATATTGAGTTCCTGCTCTCCTGAACTGTGCTATGCAATGCTGCAAGTGGTTTTCCTGGCAGGTCTCCAGCTGTCAGAGACCTGAACTCTGACAGCAGGAAAACAGAGCTCAGAGCCCATCCATTACCTGGGTTGAATCCATATGGCTATGCTTATTAAATATAAGCCTAATATAGTATCTGTAACCATATTAACCTCTCTATCTAAAGATATAAAATTTCCCTTAGACATTTACCCTAAGCAAATTTTGATTTACTGTGGGACAAACAGGAAGCTTGATGAAATGAGGTGGTAAGCTCATGGGACACGTAAGAAAGATTTAGAAGACCAAAACTGTTCTGTGCAAATACTACCTTTCAATGATCTAGGTTCAAGATAGCTTTTACAATACATTTCTCAGTTTTACTTTCTTTTCCATTTGAGACATTACTGTGGCAAATAAACATTAAAGAGGTTATCACAATGGAAATTGCAAGTGTGTCAAGTGCCCTGAAGTAAAGCTAGGAGCTGGAAAAAAATTCTCTTCTGTTCCCACGCAAACTGGGAAAGTGTTCCGCATTGACAGAGGGCCATTCAAGCCTCCTAGGCTGCCTAGAGAGCCAGAGAGCACACATAGTTTTAAGATGCAGTGCCATTATTGTTAAAGTGGTACTCTGCAAAATAGAATACCATACTGCTCATATGAGGAATCTTAAGTTGAAAACCTGAAGAACAGAAACATAGAATAAGCTGTAGAAAAGAGGAAGTTAGAAAAAACCCCACAATTAAAAGGCATTACTTTGGCAAGAGACCAGGACTACAGATACAGAAATGGTTAAACGCTACAAAAAGAGCAATTGATGTTCAGATGTTGCCAGAGTACGAATGAATGAGACTGTAGCAGTTGAAGGCGGCATTGCTGACATCTGTCTGTATGCCAGCTTTTACTCTCCAAAGTCCACAAAATAAGAGTGTGTGAATGTTTCAGCCTTTTTGGTGTGAAGTCCAGGCTTTGAACTGCATGCCCTTTAAGGTCCACTGAAGCGCCTGAGACATGCACATGTGTCACTTTCTACAGACTCTACTGCAAGTGTTGTAGCAGGCTGTAAAAAAGCATTTTGATATAGTAGCAGCCTCAACCAATAATATGTATCTGTGTGTTAAATGAAGGTGTCAAAGCCCTGGGAAACATTTGTGCTGGATTGTACATTCATATGGATTTGCACACGACCTCGCAAAACTAGCTTCAGTTGGGATAACATATGCCACTTACTACTGTCACTTTATTAATAAAGATAACGATTTGGCAGTTACATCGTCAAAGAACTTTTTTCCCAACCGTTTACTGGAGAGGAATAAGGGTGGATCAGAAATTAAAAAAGAAAAAGGAGGGGAAAAACATTAAACTTTTTTAGAAGTTTTTTTTTTAAACTCTAATTTCTACATGGATGGGTTATGATAAGCTGCCCTCATACTCAGTTATCTATTGAAACCAGTACTTCAAGCTTCAGCATAATTTAAGAGGTATTTCTGATATTTGACAGTGGATCTAAGTTTGATGTCTGCATATAAGCAGGCATAGACTTTTCTGACATATTTTACACTTCTCAACTACAAGAACATACCTCACAGCCTTAAAAGTGTGGGCCTTGCCAAGCACAACCAGAGCATTCGGGACATTATTTTAATAATGAAAACCCAAAGTATGAGAAAGTAAGCTGTCATGGGAAAAAAAATACATCATTTAGGTGAAAGGATAACAAACAACAAACACAAGGATAACACAGTCCTGGAGGGAAAATGCAGATGAAAGAAATTTCTGGAATTGCTTAGATGCTTTCTAGATGTAAAATAATTATTTTAGTTTAAAAGGTTCCAGTATCTGAAAATGTTTTCAGCTTTATGAGGTGAGTAATGTATAAAATAACATTCACCTTTGCTGTTCCGGAAAGCTGTTATTCAGTTCAGGGGTTTATTAATGTTGCAGCATTTTAACTTCAATAAGCCAGAAAGGAAGATAATGAATTTTGATACATTTTATTTTATTGATTGATTTGCAATTAAGACTTCTTTTTTGTTACTTTTTGTAAACTTCAAGCTTTTACTTGGTGCCATTGGTAATTTCCAGCTACTACTGTAGCTTTTAGCATTTTCTATTATAGAATACACTGTACTGGGAACCTATGAAGCTCTCGCTTCCCCTTCTCATTCTTCGTAATAAAAGGCTAGAATTAAAAATTAGTGTACATAACAGAATGAGTAGTTAAAAGCAATGACCAAACAAAATAAATTCTTACATACAAAAAACTCACTTCATTAAATGAATGTTTTAATGCACAGAAACGTAACGGTACTGATAATTGACCATCAGCAAGAGGTAAAAGTAGTGGTTACTATTGTTTGTGCAGTCGAATAGGCTGAGATCTGGAAATCCACTTTCAATTTTAAACCATTTTCTGCATGATGCAAGTGCAAGATGAAGCACTGCCTAGTAAGCATCTTAAGCAAAACTGACTTGCCAGTTCAAGAGGAAGTTTCGTCAGACTGAGCTCCTGAGGATCACTGCTTTAGATCCAGAAGCAAAAATAAGACAAGAAAAGAAACACATGGAAGCAGGAATACAGATATGATCCTGAACCTCTGAAGTCACTGGGATGATTTTTACCTCATTTTCTTTTAAATCAGTTTTAAAAATAGCAGGATTTGACTCCACAAGAATTATTTCAATGTTTTTTACAGCAAGTCAATTTTCTATTAGGCCAGAAAACTGCTTTAAAACCATAACTTTTAATATTTTGATAAAGTGTAAAGGGATACTCTGATAGAGAGGAACTATATCACTTAAGAGGCAGGTGGTATTATTTGTCATATGAAACATATTTGAGAGCAGGTATCTTAAACTTCTCAGAACGGGAAGCCAATCCTAAGGCAGAACTGGCAGTGTTCCATAGAAAAGCCAGGATTTTCAGTAAAACAAGCTTGTAACTCAGACGAGGAATACTAAACCTAGCCTATAAATAGTTTCGAAATGAGAGTCGGCTACATTTTATCATGTAAAAAGACAAGAGAAAACTGTGAAAATCAAAACCAAATATTGCTCATCATCGTAATTTTAGTGTTTTTCAAAACTGCAGTTGTCAGCCGGTATCACTAGAGGGCACTACTATCCCAGCTGGATCCAAGCGACTTCAACTAGAGCACTACTGAACAGATAAATCCAAGGTTAACATACTTTGCAAAGTCCAAGTAAGATATATGTCCGTGGTAAAATCCTGGTTTCATTTCCTTCCACGAAGTCACATTCTTCACAAATCGGACCTGTAAAAGTAGACAGGAGAAAGTGTTTCTGTACAGCTGGAACTCATTAAGTTTCCCCATACATGGCGTTTTCTTGTTTGTAAGTAAAATCTTGTAATGCATTAGAAAAAAAGTCTATTTTGAATATTACCGAAGAATTTGTGCCCGCTAAAATAGACTTTTCTGCAAGCATATAGATGACTCATTTTACATCATCACAATGTAATGATCAGAAACTAAACAAAAGCAGAATACAGCAATCAGAAGGTCAGTGGCAAGGAAAGCTACCACTAAAACATTAGCAAGACAAACATTTAAATTTCTGTCAGTCCATTCTATTGGTCATCTGCAAGGAATGCGGAATTCCCTCAGCAATAAGTAGAAATGCAAGTACGCCTTTGATGGAATTGTCTGATCTGTATTTAGTCCCTCATATAAAAATGTACCAGATTTACAAGCATGTTCTTAGAGCTATTTTACTGGGACATAAGAAGCAAATGTGATGGCTCATCTGCTCCCCCATCCCAAAATGCAATGCATGAGTAATCCAGAAATTTTATAAATGCATGCAGTTTAAATTAGATCTACAGTTTAGTATTTTGCATAGTTACCTTAAGCTCAGTATTTCAGTGAAACTACTGTGTTAAAGGATGAAGTAGCCCTTAAACAAGGGCTGATAAAGCAGTTATCAGAAAACTGCACAAAAATAGGAATAGCTTTACATTTCAAAGATAAAAACAAAATAAGATACACGCCCCAAACCAGAAAGTATGTTCAAATTAAGTGGGACATGCAAATCCTGATATAGCTTGGCTTTATGAGATGAATAGAATATTTTAACATCAAAGCATTCAACTCAAAGTTATTTCAAAACTAGTGAATTGGATAATAAAGAAAAGATGATAAATTTGTACTGCTTGAGCTGTCTGGCAATGATATGCCATTTCTGAAGCTGAGAATTGGAAGATAGCGTTCCCTGCACATCTACAGTATCTTTTCTGTTATACAGTGACATAGATAACCACAAAGATACTGAGGTGAGACGAGAGACTCAAAAAAGGGAAGTTTGAGAGCTCAAGACAACACACTAACATTCTGTAAGGTCTAATGGGTTAAAAGTGTCCTGAAACATGAAATTTATTATTTATTATAACCAACCAATTGAGGCTTTTAAGAGGCAAAACTGGCCTGTTGCTGCTTCTTCAAATGTGCAAAACTCGCAGTCTAGGACTGATGTGGTTTAAGCCCAGCCAGCAACTAAGCACCACACAGCTGCTTGCTCACTCCTTCCCCGGTGGGATGCCGGAGGGAACCAGAAGGGTAAAAGTGAGAAACTTGTGGGTTGAGATAAAGACAGTTTAATAGAGAAAGCAAAAGCCACACATGCAAGCAAAGCAAAACAAGGAATTCAACCACCACTCCCCTTCGGCAGGCAGGTGTTCAGCCATTTCCAGGAAAGCAGGGTGCCATCATGTGTAATGGTTACTTGGGAAGACAAATGCCATCACTCCAAATGTCCCCCCACTTCCTTCTTCTTTCCCTGGCTTTATAGGCCGAGCATGACGTCCCATGGTATGGAACACCCCTTTGTCAGTTGGGATCAGCTGTCCTGGCTGTGTCCCCTCCCAACTTCTTGTGCACCCCCAGCCTCCTCGCTGATGGGGTGGGGTGAGGGCAGAAAAGGTCTGACTCTGTGTAAGTGCTGCTCAGCAATTAATGAAAACATCCCTGTATTATCAACACTGTTTTCAGCACAAATCTAAACCAGCCCCGTACTACCTACTATGAAAAAAATTAACTCTATCCCAGCCAAAACCAGCACAAGGATTTAAGAGACTGATAACCTTTACCTATTTCTTCAAACATTGGTTCTTGGACTCTCAGGTAAAAGAAATGGATATTACTTTTTAATAACAGGCAGCATTCATTTTTTCAGTGTCCAATTTTCACATTCTGTGGCATTTCACAGTTTAAACCATATATTGCACAGGAAAATTGTGTCAAATCTAGCTGAAAAGCAATGCACAATGTTATACAGTGGTGTTTCATAAACTGTATTGGCTTTCTGTCTGGTTTTGTCCACAGCACAAACCAATAATATATCTATAAGACTCTGAATCCAGTTGAACTACCTTTACTGCTGCTGAAACAAACCACACTTTCATTGACTGTACCTTTCAAAGATTAATGACAAGATATTTTCAGCAGAGACCCTCAGCTATGAATATTTCTTTACCTAGGAAAGAAGTTTCCTGAATGCAAAGTATATATTATACTCCCTTCCCTCACGCCCAAGCCCCAAAATATCACAGTTGGTTGATACAACAACTCCACAAGTAAACAGGATATGCTACCTAATGTGTGTAGTGCAGCATGCATATTAATGTGTACATTTCGGTTTCGTTTCCATGAACAATCTTTCTCCAATCTAGCACTAGCTGGATTTCAATTTCTGGTAGTCTAGGACTAGACACAGGGAAATGTTATGTGTAATATCCCATGGGTCAATTTTGTCTTAGATCCCCATGCCACCATCTGCCATCAAACCTTAAGATGTCCCAGTAATAGTTAAAAAACCCTTTATTGTCTTTGTCTTAGAATGTTGTCTCCTAAGGAAATAATTTTTATGTACATGGGATGGATATTCTAGCCTTTTATTAACTTTAACACCAGGCAAATGAAAAGAAGGCTAGGAAGGTTTATAAGACAGCTGTGACATTTACATCTGCCTTAAGAAGAACCAGCAACATGCTGTGCCCCTGAGAATTTAAGTTTTTAACACCTATAATTAGGCTGCAGGCAAGAGATTCCACCCCCCCACCAGTTTGCAGCATTCCAAAAATCAGAATTGTTCCAGGTCACAGACAGCCTAATGAGTCTGCATTCACACATTTTAGGGCAGAGATGAATATTATTTGCTGCTTCATACTGTTAAATATGATAAATTTTACCTTTCTTTTCAGGGCTTAGCAGATACTGGAGCTTTTAAGAGACAAGCAAGCTTCTCCATCTGAACCCAAATGAATAAAATTTGAGGTTACTTTAAAAGTTCAGATAGATGTGAATGGAATTCCTGTGAAGTTGTTTCACGGTGCTTTTATATAATCAGCTACAAAGTTGCTTCACAGCCTTTAGAATCAGCTGAGCTTCACTAAATTAAAAAGCCAGATCAAACGTACTCTGGGGGCATAAGGTATCCTGAAAGGTAAGTTAAATACATTCAGTTTCTAGGACGATAAGAATTTAAAACAAATCCCAGTAAGTCAAAAGAAAAAAACCAGCATGCTTGGTCTGAACAAAAAGCCCTGGGAAATCTGTACCTTCAAACCAAAGTGATGTTCTAAGCTGTCACCTCTGTACACTGCTTCCATCAATTCCTCTTCTCTACAGTCTGAACACACATGTAGACACCCTCTGCCCCCAAAAGGTGGTATGGTCACTACCTTGTGGCCTGGTATCACATGGAGTTTTGGATACCAAAAAAGCCATAGATTATCACATCATTATATTCTAGTTTTGTTTGTCAATTGTTGAAAAATTGACCTAAAAGTCTGGGGGAATGAGTATCAGAAGCCCAGCCTGGTGAGGACACATGAAGATTTTCAATTTGAACTACAAAGAAAGGGCTTTCAAGTAAGACTGAAGACCAGCACAGTGTCCTCATTAAGGGAAATCTCAGATTCAGATTTAAAGACCAAGTATGATGGGATGACTGAAACAGAATCCCTCTGCAGGAAAGCGCTGGTAGTTTAGCTGTCCAAATTGTCATACAAGCTAATAACTTATAGTTAGTTCTAAATCAGATGTCAGGAACGCTGGAAACAGGCTAGCAGCACACCTTTGGCTGCATGCCATAAGAAACAAGGAGCAAGCTCAAGGCAAGGGCAGCTGAGAAGCAATTTTGTGAGATGGTGAAAAGACAGAGTTCACCAGTTCAGCCACGGCACAGCCAGGATACCTGCCTCGCATGAACAGTTCTTTCTCAGACGGAAAAATACAATTGCACATGTACAGCAGTGGACACTAGTACTCACTAGGTCACCTAACTCTTAAGAGAAAAATTCTTCAATGTTCAGGAGAACATGACAGTACTTCCACTTCTAACAGAGTCGCTGCAACCTTTTACTTGTTCCACTTCTGACAGCCGTTGAAACCTTCACCAGCAGAGGAAATAAGTACTACTTAAGTCAGTATGAGTGTGCTATCCTCAGAGGCCACTGTTTTAGAATACATTTGGAAGCAAAATATATATTTTCAGGTTGCTCTTTTGAGATAAATGGAAAGAGAAACTGCAGGAGAAAAAAGAACAAGGAACAGAAAAGAGCAAGCTGAGAGAGTGAAATGCTGGATAATTGTACCATTGATATTCTAAGTTCACAACAACAGTACAGAGAATGTGTTCTCATACCCCCTCTTCTGATAAAATATCAAGAATACATGCTGCAAGACAGAACAGTAATTTCATTTTAAATGTTTTAGATGACAATTTCACCATGTAACAAAAAAGCTGAAGTTCGTGTGGCTAGTATGCCATCCAACTAGCCATAACAAAGGCATACTTATAGGGACTTATAGGATACTTATGGGATTAAGTATCAGATCTGAAACATGCAAGCAACAAATAAAATCCAACCAAAAGACTACTCTGATTTAATGAAAGCAAGTGTTTTTGTTACAGACCATGGAGGTCAGAAATGCAACATGGGCAACATGGCACTCAGCTTGCTGCAAAGAAAAGGCCCAACCTGTGGAAAGAGGGGCAGTTCCCAGGATCCTGCTGTCAGAGAAGCTGCAAAAGAAAGGAGGGCTGCTGGGACAAGTTCCATCTGAAACTGAAATGGATGTGTTAGGGACTCTTATCAGGTTATCTCAAATCAGATACAGGTTACATTTGGAGTCGATTGCATTCAAGAAGTAAAGGTTTCACATATGGGTAGAGAACTTAAAATATGTTACAGAATTAGAGTAGTTTGATAAACGTACAGCAGAAGTAGTAAAATAATGAGCCCTCCATTATGCACAAATTTATGTCAAGCCCAAGACAATTTTCACCTTGCTTAGGGAAATTCGCTTTAGCAAACAGTATCACTGATAAAACAATTTTGCCTCTATGATGTGCTTATATATTTTACTACTGGTGCATATACACTTAATGCACTCAAGTGAGCTATACTGATGAAGGTGGCATGTGAGTATTTCAGGCAAATCCAAGCCCATGAAGAGTAAACCTACATCAACTGCTACTCAGCATGCTTGCCATCTCCAGAATTATGTGTTATCACTTACAAAGGCAAGTTGCTATCTCAATATACTAAAGATAAATAATTATTTCTTCTTCTTTGAGCAACTATGCAATACATAAAGTTTTTGATTGGCAGTATCTCCCAGTTAATGGCCACTGAAGAAGAGTATCAATTGTCTAATTAAACAACATAATTTACCACCTTGGACAATAAGCATAGTATCAAATGAAGGTAGGACTGCCAGTACTATATACATGCCCGGCACTGATGGATTTTCATCTTTCAACAGGTAATTATTCGACGGAAAATGAGGAGAAGAGTTTCTCTTAGACAAAACTAAGCCAGTAAAGATCAAATCTGATTTGAATGAAATCCAAAGAAAAGTAGAAATTTAAGGCAAGGTTGCCTATGTTTAGTTATGTGATCAATTACTAGCTTCCCATCCTTCAGGACAGACCACTACAATTCAAAGAGAAACAGAATCTGTGGCTGGAAGTGCAGCACTAAGTATGACTGACTTGAGCATGATTTTTAATTGAGAGATACAGGCTTGTTAAATCTTTTGAAAAATCACTCTGCTGTTTGTGTATAGATCTTTAGTACTTGTTCTGTGCAGTGAACAGGACTACAGGGGTGGCAACTAGATTTACTCTTAGTAATCTCAGTAATCATGTGTGACAGTATCACCTTCATATTTAGGAAAAGGTTTCACAACAGCAAAACCCCAACAATAACACAACCCCACTATCACAAAACAGGTTCCCAGTCCCACCACAAGTACACTCTGTCCCCTGCACCGAGATCCCTATCTCAATCTTTCTCCCACATACAGAACTGAAAGTGGAGGGCCCGTTCATCTGCTTCCCCTCGCCCCACTCCAGCAGCTGTGCTAAGCTGATTCTGCCTGTAGGCACGCACTTAAAGGAGCTGGAAGTCTCAGTGCTGACATGCTGCAATGCAGAACAGCTCCTGCCTCTGCTGCATATCAACTTAAAATGATCAGCGTACCACCAGTAATACACACCCGAGAGTTTGGAAACATTTGTTTTAAGGACAGGGATAATGACATAGTGATGTTTCAGACCTCTGACCTCGGTTCCTTGCATGTGTACTCATGAGAAGCAAAGAAATATAATTTAAAAAAAAAAAAAAAAAAAGACTACTCCCTCACCACACCCCAAGAAAAAGAGCACTGATCTTCCATCATCTTTTTTTTAATACTCATCATCTGATGCAGTGGTAGCCACGATCATTTCTAGCCTGGGACTACACTGATTTTAGTGACAGCTTTAAGTGGGTGCAAAGTGACCCATCCTTTAGAGGGCAAGCTATTTACAACCACTTCTTTCTACCTCTTTTTTTAACACCTGTGATACCTGACCAGACCTAGTACCAAAGACAGATGCATAGCCCTGACAGCATGGCACAGCGCCTGCACTATGCAGAGATGAAAGCACATAAGATTGCATTTACTGCAGATGGAGATGACAGGCAAATATTATTACACAGCCAAAAGGCAGACAGTTGACAATATAATAAACTTTTACAGTTATAACAACAAAGGTAATTTCTGCCCTAGCTGTGTCCCTTTGTAGACTTTTTGTCCCATAAACAGATACTTACCACCTCCAGTAGCCTAGCAATTACCTAAATCTATTATTTAATAAATAATATTTATTATCTACAAAGAAACTATGAACACATTAGAATTAATTTATATAGGAAAATGTGACATGAAAGCCAATTCCATCAGACCATATCAGTTTGCAATAGCAAATAAATTTTCTATACTTTCCCCTTGTTTAATAGAGATATCCCAAATACAGCAGCTTACCTGATCTTGCAGAGACATAACAGGATTATTTTTGGTTGTATTTATATGTAGAACATGATATTTGTTCTTCGCACAAAGATCATAGGCAATATTTGTGAAGGATGTGCTGGCAGTCTTAGGTACTCTGTTGTAAATAATCACCACATCATCTTCCTCATCCAGCGTCACATCTTGTCGGGGGCCGTCTGCTGTATGACGTTGTTCTATTTCTCTGACTTCGTGTCTTGCAATAGCCCTTTCTGTTAAGGATGACAAATACAAAATTTTGATGTAAATATTACCAATTTTGAAGTTGAAACTATAGAATGCAAATAACCTGGTGAAAAGCAGTAACTCCTCAGCAATAAAGGAAACACTTGCTGTCATATATCTTTCTGATACATCTGAAGCAAAACTTAAGCTATAAAATGTATGAATGATAAAAGGTGAGTTAGTCTGGCACAGAACACGAAGACTAGAAAAAAATACACTTAGGGAACACATACTGTATTTGATGACTCATGCTAATGTTACTGAAAGCCATTGTCTCTAAAGAAAAATGTCTATAAAGTGCTATCAAAATGGTGACATGCCCAAAATATCCCAAATGATTTCTATAAAACACCTATTTAAAAATCATAATAAAAGGAATAACTCAAGTGATTTTGAGAATATTAATTTTCTGAAAACAGTAGAAATACTTAACACCAGAGATGTAGTCAATTAACTGTGTAGAGACATTGGAATTCAGATGAAACCACTGTTTTGTTATTTCAATTGATACAAGCCCCAAGTGTAAAGCCTTACAATAAATGGGTTTGCAACAATTCAATTAGATTTATTAATTTTGCATTTGACAAGAATAGAAGCAAAAGGTGCTTATGAAACGGTTAACATTAAAGTGAAGAGTGGTCTCCGAGTACTGAAATAACATCAAATACATCAAAAAGAAACATGGAAAAGCAAGCTATGAACAAGACATTTTGGCAAGGTGAGTACATTGCAAATAAACCATTTTTCCTTTATACAAAGGGCAATACTCTGAGTAATTGAACACTGCTTCAAGTGCCAAAAGCCTATTTGGAAAATAAAATCCACAGTATTACAGCTTTTTTTTTTTTTTTTTTTTGCTGCTGCTGAATATCAAATACTTTGTGCTGATTCAGACACAGCTTTGTTCTGTTCTAGGTAAGTATATACTTTAATATGATGTGTAATACAGATGTCAGAACATCTATTCTAATTCATTTATTGTGATATTGCCTTTAGTAATGTATTCAAAGAAATCTGCGTTGGCCAACAGTGCAAGCTGAAGTTGGTACCACAAAAGCAACCTGTAATTCTTGGTATTATGCTCTTACACATGGTGTAGCTCCTTCTGGATGACACGCTTTTAACAGCAGCACCTCCTGACTTTTACTTCCCTTGCTTCCTGTAACCCAGCTCCTTCTATTCTCTTTCACCACATCTCTTTAATTATAACCTAAAATCACTTTTAAAGCAGAATCATTAAGCTGTGAACACCACTAGCCTGTAATTCCACATAAATTGTCTTCAACCACAAACTTCCATCTGTCTGAAATGCTTCAAAGCTTAATCTCACTCACTCTCTCATATGCTCATATCTCACACCCCATAGCTAAGCTACATCAGTATGAAAATGTTTGTAGAAAATGCTTATTGAGTATATCTCAATTTTCCACATGACATCTGTTGCTCCCCACAACATCAGTCACAGTTTTTGCTCCTTCCTTTCTCATTTGCTACCTCTCCCATCACTGCTGGCAAACGTCCTATTTTAGAAAGAAATGAGGCAACATACTCAGGTTTCATCTATCTGAAGATGGCTACAACAAAAAAGGACTGGCAACTTTCCCCTTCCTGCCAGTAACAGATTAGAGGAAGCATTTGGTAGGGGACATAGTTAACCACATGGCTGCCCAAGGCAACATGGATACTGAATACCACCTAGAGAGGTTGAAATGAAACAAATTTAATTTGTATTTTCTACACTGGAGTAGTAGACCTCAGATAGATTCTTATCATAACTGCACAGAACTCCAGGGCTGATGAGGCTGGCTGGTGTGGAGCGAAGCTTCCCCAGTTGCATGCAGGAAGTAAACTTTGTGAGAAACAAATGTGATTGCAAAAAGAGTGATGAGAAGTGTTCCTCTAATGAAGTATTTGAAACCATGATGATTCGAGAATCAACGTGGTAAGTGCACTTTAAAGGCTATGCATAAGATATAAAAGATGTATGATTAGATGCAATTAACGGAAAGGCTATTGCATATAATCACAAGAAAGCAAGAACCCAAGCAAGGAGGAGAACCTTCACAAGTGTGAAGTACACAGTTCTATTATCGAAGAGTAAGTAGGCTTTAAATGTCAAATTAAAATGAAAACTAATCTTTATGATGAACAACTGAAATGACCTTTTTGAAATAACTGCAATGGTTAAAACCAAAAGCAGAGATGCAGTGCAGGGAATAAACTGCTGAAGTGCAAGGGAAGCTAAAGCTAGGGAGAAGCAGATGAGGCACCTGAAAGTGTCTAACCTGGTTAGCTGTCCTAATGGCCTATTTCACTGTAGTCTGTTAATAACACAACAAGGTGAATTACAAGTTTTGTAAAAATGCACATTTATTCCCTGTCATGAACAGTTTATAGTTTTTTCCTTTGAAGTCAGGATGCTTTTTTGTTACTTTCTGAAAAGTCAGTTTAACTCTTACAGTGGCACGTGATTGGATCCATATGAATTTCATTTACTTATTTAATCGGGAGAGGTGGAAAAGATCCAGTAATGTTAACACACAACTCAGAATAGTCTTTGGGATAACTATGTTAATCACGTATTAGAGAATTTGAGAAGTTAATGGGCATTTGAATAACTACTTCATTTGCTCTTCTATAAAATTTAAGCATTTTTCAACCATTACAGGACTTTACTTCCAGGATGATTTATGTTTTTAGAAGTACGGTAGAGAGTGCAATGTATGCTTCAATGACTTGTTACATGTGAAAGATGGGGAGGAAGAAGTATATTTTTTTTTTTTACCAAAAAGCTCCTTAGATGACAGTCCTGCAAATTTAACTTTGATTATGAGAACTTGTCTACATAAGGTTGGATTGGTTTCACCAAAATCAATTTAAAAAAAAAAAATCAGGTTAGGTAATTTCTTTCCTACTAGAGAACCTGTAGACAAAATTATGTCCTACAGTCTCATTGCTTTCATTAGATTCTATTTACACTTGATTTTATAAGAAAAACAGCTAGGCAAAATTATTAAGAACGAAATGTCTAAACTGGGTTAAGACTGTCCACATTAAGTTTTACACTAATTAACTATAACAATTAAAAAAGATAAGCAGCATTAAGCAAGTGGGACTGTGAATACGAGACAGATTTTCATAGTAATATAATACATAATAACTTTAAGGCATAAAATATTCTCACACTTTTTTATTAACGCCTGTTTAGGTTCACTGTAATTACTGTGCAGTTGGGAAAAATGCTCTTCTGTCATCAGCAGTTGTTCTATGTGCAAACTTTCATCAACTGCAAGCACAGTTTTCACACAGACAGTACCATATATGAACAGTGTAATAAAGGTTGCTACACTGCTTATTTACCAGCAGATGAATTACTTGCAGAAAGTCTTCAGTTGGCAGAAGTATCTGTTTTGTAAACAACAGAACAAGCTTATTTTCTCACCTACTTGTCTACATGTTCTTTGAAATCTTCCTTTATGCCATTTCTGTAACTGGCAGCATCTTCCCATGACTTACACTTCTTAAGCCATCCTCATGTAGCAATAAACCAGGAAATACCATGGCTAGCAACAAGTTGGTTTGCCAGTCAGATGCTCCCAGAAAATAACATATAATGGGCAAGTTATGTCTTCTTGTTCAGCAGAAGCACTAATAGCAACATTCAATCTGTACGCCACCACTGATTATAGAAAAATTCAAATTTATTTGTCTTCAAGATCACAGCCCTTTCAAGTCAAAGCAGTTTGTCAACAAGTTTAAAAGTTACCAATAGGAAAAGTAACACTTGGAGAGAAATGGACAGAGCAGGTTTGATTGCTTAGCCCTATTTCCTTAGGATGTCAACTAATAAAATCACCTGTGAAAATGCATCGGACCCACACATACCTATAAAAACATTTGAAAACCCAACTGAACAATATTTACGTAATTATAGAAACAAATCACTGTGATCGTAAGCAGTTATTTGTTTACATTCCTTGCACATTCAAAGAGATTAATGTCTTAAGTAAAACAAATTTATTAGCATTTACTTCAAATGCAAGTGTTAACTGCATACAAAGTACTATCTTCCCAAACAAAATTGAGTGGCATGGATTTTAACAACTTAAAGGTTAACAAAACCAAACATTTCAAATCCCTCACATTTTTGGCAAAAGCAGAAGAACCTCCTGGGATTTCTTATCAAGAAAATCTATCAAAACCAGAAACTCGTCTTTTCCCTATAGCTTAGCACTTACAACTTTTGATGAAGGGTACATTTTGAGCCTCGCTGGCTGTCAAAGTCAAGTTAACTCAGTATCTGGAAGAATAATTCAGACCATACCGCCCTACTTCCCCAAACTATGCTCTTTGTCCTTTATGTTTATTTTCCTTCTCCATGTATCTATGGATATTATTTAGGATCTCTCTTCAACGTGTCTTATGCACCTGCCACGCTTCCTTGTGAAACCTCCCACTCAGATGAGGAAAGGCTCAGTCTTAAAATAAATTTTACTTCAGCAGCCTTCAAGTGTTACCCAAGAGAAGAAAAAGATGTGGATTCAAACTTCACTCACACTCACTCAATGTAAAGGAACTGAACAGCTAATATTGATAGCACCATCCCTGAGCAAACAGTTGCTGTATATCTACAATGCTGGATGTCACTTCAAACCAATAAGCAGCTTTCTTCCAGTTGAGAAAAATATTGAAGCCAGCTGACCTGGTGTCTCAGCTTGCTTTCCACTGTGCTCCCAGGCTAATTGGGCAAGCAGCTGGTAGCCTGAGGCACTGAGCAGCTCTCAAGCTGCTTCCCTACCCAAAAGCTGCATTAAACACATTGGCCTAAATGCTGAACCGGAGCAGGACTGAAAACCTACACACTATTGACGCCATTTTCCTTTGATGAAGAATGAAAACTGAAGAGCAGCTTAAAAAAAATGAACAATAATTATGCAGCAAAGTTAATGTCCCGATGAATTTTCAAATTATATACACCCACCATATA